GGAGAGAAAGATAACGATAGGTGTGAGGAGAAAAAAAACACATATGTAGAGCCCATGAGGCGCACACATTAATAACGAACGACATGAAAAAAAAAAACAAAGAACGAAAAAACGACAAACCAAGCTTTATATTTCCTTGTCTATAGTGGCACTCCCCGCTCTCATTCCCCCCTTCTTTCTCGCTATCCATCTTTTCTTTTCTTTTTTATTTTTACTGAGGGCAGGGGAGGGCAATAGAGAGGTCGTCGGGGAGGCGAGGCGTTTGGAGCTTCTGGGCGTGAACTGAGGTGAGCGTCGGCTTGCGCCTCGTGTTGTCGTACCTCCGCACCTGCGCCACAGCTGTACGTAGGCGTGACAAGGTGGCAAGCAGCATCCCATACGTTTCAGCGGAACACCACACACCGCTTGACTCTACATGAGCAACTAGTCTATTAATCTCTATGCATAACTCGCGAACATCCACCGCCAGGGAGTCGAACTGAAACCCCGCCTCTATTCTCTCAAGCACAGTTTCCAAACTGGTGTTCACTGTGGATAGGCAACCGGATGGAGAAATTCCGCCCTCGGAGGAAAGCCATGAAATACCCCTTCTCTCAACATCTTCGTTTTTGCCGTCTGCCGGTATCATCTGTATATACGTATAGGTATATATATATTTATTTATTTATTTGCGCATGTAGCTATCTATCAGTGCATCTAACAAACAATAATAATAGTAATAATCTACGCAGAAATCTACAGCGGTCAACACGTACGTGAGCTCCAGTAACGACGGCAGTAAAAAAGGGAGAGACCACTCAAGAAGCGTGGGGGAAAGAAAACAACAGCAACAGCAGACACACAGTTATAGCTGTGCGTAACTACGTGAAATAATCACACACACACAAAAAAGAGATGTTGAACATCTCTTTCGTTCTTTTCTTTCTTCTCTTCCCCCTTCTTCCTCGTTTTCCCCTCTTTTTTCCTTTCCTCGAACTCGTAAAGAAACACGGTTTATACAGGCGCCGATCAACATCATTAATGTAGCCTCCTAGGAATTTTGCAAGTATTGGGAGAGCCAGCGGAAGGCATCGCCGTAGCCAATCTTCTTCACAACGCTGCACATGAAGACCTCGAGAGGGCGAACAGCAGGATCTGTCACCTTGTTTTGCTTACCAGTGGAGAGCCCTGTGAGGCCCATAGCGGCAATGAGGTGCTCCTCTGAAACAGCACGCGGTACATCAATTTTATTGCCAAGTATAATAAAAGGCGTTCGGGACAATTCCTCTGTTTGTAGCAGCATGTCCAGCTCTTGCTTTGCCTCTTGGAAGCGCTCCGGGTTTGCAGCGTCCACAATAAACACAACCCCATCAACCTTGGTGAAGTAATCCTTCCAAAGACGGCGAGCTTCCAAATGTCCGCCCATATCAATGGTCTTTAATTTGATACCACCCAGGGTGAGTTCCTCCACGTTCGGGTGGAAGGTGGGCCTGTGGACGTGGACTTGATCGGTGGCAAGCTTGCCAAGAAGCGTCGTCTTTCCAGCATTGTCAAGTCCAAGGAACAAAATTTTTCCCGTTTTGTTGCTGAAGCCGAGGTAGGACATCATGTCCCAGAACCAAGAAAACCAACCCATTTTCTTCGCTAACAGCAATGCTTACAAGAAAAAACCAATCACACTAAAGAGGATAGGTGGAAGATGTATACGCAGCGCAAAGAAGGAAACAATCCCCCTCACTCAGCCACACACACACACACACAGGAATCAAAACGACAGAGGAAGAAGACAAAATAAGAATAAAGGATTCAACCTATACTTTCACAAGAAAATAATTTGAACTAAACGGAGTGGCCTATCAAGGGTTCCAACTTTACAAACATTTGAGCAAAAAATCGGGTGCAGTTCCATCATTTATTTTTTAAACTTGGACCTGCCCTTGGGTCGCGGCTTGTGTGAGTTGCACCATGGACGATCATTCTCGACGTCCCACTGCCTAGAGTGGGCTAAAAGTTTGTGTTCCGAGTTCATCACAGTCTCCATATTCGCATAGACCTTCATCGGGACCCCTTCACAACAGGTGTGAAAATGATCTTTTTGGCTAAGAGGCACGAAAAGCGTACGCCTACATGAGCGGCAGCGTTTTAAAAGCACATGTTTCATCTTGAGAAGGCGCGTGGGGTCATCTGGATTTTGGCGTCTGTAGGTACCTTTAAAATACCGCGGATCCACCATCTGCGGACGTCCATTGAGATTTAGTCCTGCAGGTCTACTTTTCCAAGGGTTAAACGCCGTGATTCTGGCACGATAATGAATTGCCACTACTCTTAGCATGAGAAGGTAAAGCAGCTATAAGATCAACAAACACAAACAACCCCCCCCCAAAAAAAAGGCACAGTATCATGAGCGGGGGAAGAGACCAAGTCACATACAGGATGAAACAACAACAAACATGAATTAACAGACATCGCTGCAGAATAGCAAAAAATCGCCCCAATATGGAGAGTTAGATAACACCTCCGCATTGACCACCATAAACTAGACGTACGTGACATCGACGTGGAAAATGCAAATAGTATTTAGATATGGTATGGTATCTATTCTAGAAACATGTATACCTGCTTTCCTGACGGTAAGCAATGAAAAAAAAAACATATGCCAGTGGTGAAAATAAACATAGACCGTCTATTCTATTCTGGCGCGTTTTACTCTGTGGGTTTCTTCATCAGAAGGAGCCGTGTTAACATCTTGGTCACGTAATACAATTCTGTTCCTTGCCTCCTCAAAGCGGTTGATCGTCGCTTGATCAACCGCCGAAACTCGCGCACCTGATCTGCTTGATAACTCATCTAACATAGACTTCAGCTTCTCAAAGCTCCTTACCCAATAGTTAACCTCATCATTGGCGCGATTAATAGCCTTCATTGCCCAATCCTTCTCCGTTGCTCGATATCTCTCTGCCTCCTCACGCTTCGCCTTTACTTCCTCTAAAGCCTTTTTATATTCCCGTTTCCTTCCAACTTCGTAATCAAAGTTTTTTCGGAGCTTCTGAAGCTTGGTTTCAATAAGTTGGGCGTTTTGCTTTTCGGTATCCAGGTCCACAAGAAGTTCGCGCATTTGTTCATCTTTTGTATTTCTCTCAGCAAGGCGTTGGTTGGAAACGGAACTCAACTTCCGCAACACTTCCTCCTTCGTTTTATCGGAAACATCTCTTTGGTTTTCAAGGAGACGAACTTGCGACAGAAGGCTCTCAATTTTTTTGGCTGAGGCCTTCCCTTGTTCCACCAGACGGAACTCAGCGTTGCTTAGCTGCAGTTGAAGATGCGTGTGCCTTTCCTCGTTTTCCTTCTGTATTTTCTTTGAGTAGTCCAGAACCTCCAAAACCCCATCATTCGCCTTAACGTGAGCCTTGTAAAATTCAATAACGACAACATCCACTTTTTCTGACATCCATGTTACGTAGTAGTCAAAAAAAACATCAGTGACCCCACAGTGTCTCCAAGCCACCTTGTAGCACACTCTGACACATATAACTGCTTCTCTGTAGAAATTGACATTTCTTGTAGACGTTGTTCCGCAGCAAAAAGCTTATCGGATAAGACTTTGTCAGCCCTTTGAAATTCTTCACCTCGCATGCGCAGCTCCTCAAGCTCACTCTTCAACAAAGTTATATTTTCCTCATACTCCCTGATTTGTTTTTGAAGTGCCGCCAACTCTACATTTCTTGTTTCAACTTCATGAGACTGTTTTGCTTCACGCTCTCTCAGTCCCCGGATCTCTTCTTCCAGACTCAACTTCATTGTATCTATTTTGTGCAATGCGGCAAGCTTTTCGGCATCCAATTTCCGCGTATCGCTGTCTAAGCGACAAATCTCACCAAAACATTGTCTCAATAAGGTAACAATCTCTCCAGTTTGCCATAAAAGGATATCAGACATATCTTCAAAGCATTCTTCACACAGCTTGGACCTGAAGATGGTTTCCTCTTGAAGAAGCTGTTCGAAACAACCCTTCCGCTTTTCCCTCTGCAACTCCTCAATTGTAATGCGAAACTGAGCTAACACCTCAGTGTCTTGTAGAACCTTCCCATGAAGTTCTTCATTCTTCATATTCGCATCACCCAACTGCTTTGTTATGTTATTAATCACTTGCTGTCGTGCACTCACTTCATACTCAAGGTTCTTGATATCCGCAAGAAAACCCTCAAGCTTATCCTCAAGTTCGGCTTTCATGAGTACAACTGCTTCATCTTTTGCTTCATGCGATGCCTTCGTCTGTTGCAATTCAACTTCAATCAAAGCCTTTTCTTCCTGCAGCGAGTTTATCACTGATTGCGCCTCTTCAAATCCTGTACGAAGAGTCTGTAGCTGATTCTCTAAGGAACTCACCAAATAACCATTATCAGTTCGCTCTCTTTCTTCTTTCTTAACGTCCGCTGTAAGTTGACTAATAATCAGCTCCTGCTTTCGTATTTCAGCGTTCCTTTCCTTTATTTGATCAGTTGATGCGGCCAGCTTTGCTCGCAAATCCACCACCAGTTCTTGCTGTTTAGATGCATTTTGTGAGGCGTGGTCAAGATCGCGACGAGCTGCCTCTAACTCTAGTTCAAGCAGTTTGTTGTCTTTTTCGCACTCACGCAGTTCGCAAGCAATCTTCTCAGTTCGTCCCTTCTCCTCTATTCCTAGAAGCTTGGCAGCCTCAATGCGCTGATTCAGCGTAGAAATAGTAGTTTGAATTTTCTCAATAGTGTCAGACTGCTTTTTATTCTGTACTTCCAAGGATCGGATTTCGTCATCCTTTGAGTGACAAATATCCTGCCATTTACTGCCTGCCTCATCCAATTTGAAGACAGTTTCATCCCGCGCATATACATCATTCTGTAATGATTCAATACGAGAGTGCAAAGAAGCTATCTTCTTCTCCGTTGCAGCAGCTGCAGACTCCAGTCGTGAAGAGCGCTCCTTCTCACGCTTTAGTTGTTTTAACGCCTCTTCACGGCTGCGCACGAGCTCTTCAGATTCACCTTTTAATTTCAAAAGTTTCTCTTTTGAATCATCAAATTCCTTTTGAAGAGCTTCATTCTCCGCTATCCATTGCTTTTCAGCTTCACACCATTTTGCTATAGAAGCATGAGCATCACGTCGAATTTGCTCCTTTTCGCACTCAACAGATGTAATCCTTTTTTGCTCCGCAACCAACGCAGCTTGCTTTTCCGCGAGTTCCTTCTGTAGTGCATGACACTTTTCCTCTAGTTTACTTTTCTTCTTTTCGTCATCAGTGAGCGTGATAAGCTCACGTCTCAGCTCTGCTTTATCCTGGTCAAGCTTGGCTATGTGAGCCTGTTGCGTTTTAAGCCTGTCTTCAAGCTCGCGAGTGTATGCTTTTTCACGCTGCAACTGAAATTCTATGTGCTTCTGGCTTGCTTTTAAGCCCTGGCGGTTGTCGCCCTTTGCAGGAGAATCCATGGCCTAAAACTCAAGCAAACAATAAAAAAAAAGAACAAAGAGAGAGCGACAGAGAGAGAGAGAGATAGAGAGCCTCCGTTGGGAACCATCAAAGGAATTATGCCAGTCCCCCATTGTCTATTTAGAGAAAAAAATATCAACACGAAGCATAACAAAAAATAATGAATATAAATAAACAAAAAAGAAACACGATACTTCCTTTCATTAAAATTTACTGCTATGTTTTCTTCGAGTTCATTCGTGCCGCTTTCTTCCCTGATTTCATATAAAAATCTAGAAAAAGGAAAAATAAACTTATATGGTAGAGGAGTTGAAGTAGGGACCATTGTATAGTGAACTGATGGTCAAAGAAGGGAACCAACAGGGCTTGAAGAATGCAAAGTAAAAATTGAAACATTTGAACTTTCGTAAGAGCAGATTTTAGGGGATTTCGAAAACCGAAGGATGTCCACAAATAATGGGAATACATTAAAAGGTGTACGGCAGAGTTAATCCATGCCCCAAAGAAGGCGGTCCCATTACCCATGCCGTGTCTTAGGAGAAGCCCCCAGATAAATCCAATTGTGGCGTGGTGGTAAATATGAAGAAAGGACAATTGATCGTCTTTTTTCCTGCAAATCATAAATACTGTATCCAGCATATCCAGAAACTTAGTACAATAGTGAACAAAGATCCATAATTCGATATCGGGAGAGAAACGACCGTTAAGATTGAATAAACCTTTCTTTAGAGATGGGGCAAGATAGGTCGCCATGGCAGCTGATAAAAAAATTTGAAGAAGGTTGTAGACCACCATCGGTTTATCCACTTTTAGGGCTGCCCTATGCTGCATCCATTTTTGAAGAATAAACACCACGACGATGTATCCCGTATGCGCCCCAATAAGCAGAGGCCAAGAGACAAACGGGTTAAGCATAGGGTAAAAACACAGCGAGCCATCAGAACGGCACTCTGTTGCGTCCAAATACACCTTCATTTTTTTACCCCCCTTTTTGCCCTTGCGTTTCCTTTTACTAAAAATAGAAATAAAAAAAAGAGCACACAAGAGGCAAACGCCAATAATGAATCCTCCTCGCAGGAAGAAAAAACGCACGCGCACACACGCGAAAATGAAAAAACGACAACCATAAGGTCTGCCGCCACCCCTCCCTGACCGCCCCGCAACCCGGCGCCGGCACCGGCGGAGACGGTTCGGACGGGCGGGTCCTTCTGCGGTGCCGGCGCCGTCGCGCTTCCTGCGGGGGTCCGCCCCCGCCATTTTTTGTTCACGTCTCGCGGGTCGGTTTTTGGGGTTGCTTGGCGCTTGGCGCTGCGCGCTCTTCGTGGGGACTGCCTCCGGTGGAGGGGCCGGGGGAGCGCGGGGCGAATAAAAAAAAAAGCGCATTTTTCAGGCCGTAATG